GTGCACCCAACTCAAACTCGGAGATATGGTAGCTTGCAACTCAACTCAAATCCAAGTTTACTTCAGTTGACTATGGCGCTGGGCGCCCACACTTACACGTTCGACTCAGAGTTCACACGCAACTCGACTCCGGATCACCCTGGATACCATCCACGCCAACCACTGCACACACACATACRCACTCACTAACTGTCTATGGCTATGGCGCATGGCCACTAACAGCTAACTAGCCTATCACTAACTTCTGCCCACTTCGTCTTCAGGCCATCTGCAGACCTCCCTTGCACAAGACGCCCGAGCAGCGCTTCCGCAGAGCTTCCGCAGGAATGAATGAATGGCTGGACGCAGCCTCTTGATTTATACTTCTGTGTTGCATTGGTCTGCCTTGTATCCCTGGCCCATGATGCACACAGTCCCCCCCCGTGGTACTTACTGGACCGGACTGGTACTTTCTAGACTTTCCCATGACTGCATAGTGACAACCCTACGACGCAGTGCAGTTGCACTGGGGTCCTACTATTTGCCCTTGCCACTTGTCCTCGTCTCCAACATGGGCTTGCTTTAGTCACACCACTTGACCACTTGCCAACCTTCTAGAAGGACTGCAGCTGGACTTCTACTCTACAGGTCAATGGATCAAATCCTGGCTACCTAAAGACCTACGACAGACCTACTTACCACTGGCGGTTCTACAGGTCGCAGGTTCAATTCTTCAAGTTGTCACAGATATTGTACACAGGTAAGTTGGGGAACTAGGGATCGAACCCTGGGTCCTACATCAGCTACTTCGAACTGGTGAATACCGTTTCACCTGGTCATTCCCAAAGTGCAAATTCATAATGAAAGACAATGCCACCCAATCGCGAAAGAAATGAAAGCACTTGCAAAGAGATAGAGACCAAAGAAGACAGAAAGAAGAAGAAGAAGAGGAGAAAAAAGAAGAAAGAACTGAAAGCACTTGCAAAAGATAGAGACCAAAGAAGAGAGAAAGAAGAAGAAGAAGTGGAGAAAGAAGAATGACGAATACCCGTCCTCTCTCCACCTTCCTCCTCCTCTTTCACTTCGCCAATCTTATTCTTCTTCCAATAATAATCATAACAATGAGTGGATGAACCAGAATCAATATCCGAAGTTCCCCCTTACTGCTGACACAACAACAGGTCCACCATAGCCATGGCTTCCCCCCTTCTTCCACCTCTCACATGCATAGGCTATGGCGGACTACTGAGGGATCTGCCCTCCTGTGCAAAGGACAACGCAAAGCAGCTATGTCGCTGCACTCCTGTCCAAAGGACAACCCAAATCAGCTATGCCGCTGCTGACTAAGCCGCAATGCCTGACTCTGCCTCGGGCTTCCTTGGTGCGGCACTACCCCAACTGGGGCCTTCCAGATGCAGCGCCCAACAAGGTGATGAAGATGGTGTCCANTTCCTTGGTGCGGCACTACCCCAACTGGGGCCTTCCAGATGCAGCGCCCAACAAGGTGATGAAGATGGTGTCCACCATAGCCAGGTAGGTACCTCACCACTCTCCTCCTTCGCCCCCTTCTTCCTCCTCCTCAGGCTGGGCTGCTCGCCATAGCCAGGCTGAGCGCTCAGCTGCTCTGCTCCTTCAGGCACCACTCAAGTCCAGCGCTTGGCTCCAGCAGTACGTCGCCAATCCTTGCACACCGCAAACGAGGAGGAGCTGCTTGCTCCTCCCGAAGATATAGCGGCCTACTGGCCTCTTGGGCAGTGAATTCCTAGGCCAAGCGGCCTCCTAGCAACCGGTACCTCCTCCCTTTCGGAGGGAAACATCATTGCAGGCTCTGATATCGTCCGACAGGCCCTAGGCTCAGGCTACTTGGACTGGTACCGGCCTACCTCTAACCTACCGCTACTGGGCCTCCAAAAATGCCAACTTTTGTCTTCTTCTGCTCGGCGTCCAGTACCCGACAGTTCTACCACTACTTGAGTGGTACTGGCCTACCTGCTACTTGAGTGGTTTTCTCGCTGCTCTAAGTGTCGCGGGCCTACCCCCGCTACTTGAGTGTTTTCCCCGCCGCAACCCTCAAAGTCACGGCCACAGGTAAGTACCGGCCCTGCGGGGCCTTTCAACCAACAAGTACCCTTGCGGATCACACACACACACTCAGGCCGACAAGCACTCAGACAGCCACGCAGACCAGCAGGCACGCACACACACAGACTTAGAAATCACAGCAGAATGCGGGAATCTCAGCAAGGCATACATTACAGCGGCAAATCCCAGAAATCAGCAGTGTTCTCAGTCTGTGTTTTGGTGGGTCATTACAGTTGTGATGTTCGCTATACACAACTCCACAGAAGGAAGCATGAATCTGTCAGACTGTTTTGTCAGACTTCAGCGACTCATCAGGAGGTTGAACCCGACAGTCTGCCCAAGATGCATCTGCGTATGTGTGTGTGTGTGTGTGTGTGTGTGTGTGTGTGTGATGTCATGTTCGCTATACAGAACTCCACAAAGGAGGCATGACTGCACCACAGTGTTTCATCGGACTTTCACTGACTCACCAGAAGGTTGCATTTGTGTATGTGTGTTATAAAATATCACCACAACTTCCCTTATTCCACCCAGATGAGTAGATCCAAAGTCATAGCAACTTTACCTGTATTGCAGACAATGAAGCATGCTCAAGATGAGCCAATCCACCAATGAAACAGTTTTGCTTGTGAATTCAATATCTATTCAGAACCTTACCTTTAAACAAGCAACGCAAGGAATCTCACCTTTACACAAGCAATGCAACACACTTGAGATGGGCCAACCCAACAGTAAAAACAATACGAGACTTAATAAATTCGTTATATCGTTTTCTTGATTATATTTGCATCAGCTAGCATTGGGAGGCCTCCCATTTTCTTTGTTTTTGCAGTTACTTTCTTACTGTGCCTATCACATACAAGGCTGGCCACGTTGATGATGGTTGAGCGCCAGCTGCCCACATCCTCGTGTGCCTTTACGGCCCACTTGCACGTTATGAAGGAGGCAGAGTAAAAGGGTAATTATATTCTGTCTGTTCTCTCAACTACAGTCATTCATATGCGTTTACTAGTAGTGTGTGTATGTGTGTGTGTAGTGTATGTGTGCGTGTGTATGTGTGTGTATGTGTGCATGTGTGCCTGCGTGAGCATGAACGTGAGCGTGCATGTGCATGTGTGCGTGTGCGTGTGTGTGTGTGTGCGTGAGAGTGTGAGAGTGTGAGAGTGTGAGAGTGTGAGAGTGTGAGAGTGTGAGTCTAGTCCACTAGAGACCACTCCAAAAAAATGCACCACTACGCCGCCAAAGACCTGCGCAGGAACATTTTTCCCTCAGACCTGGCGGACCGCTCCAGAAACCCGCTTGGGCTGCAAATTTTTAATCTGGGCCGACGGCCTGGGTCGCCATGCAATCTTAAAATCTTAAGATCGCACGACGGTCCTGGCCGTCGGCCTGGTAGGACCACAGACAGCCTAAATGCTAGATTTCTCACATTAGCGATTCCCTATAGTGTAGGGAAAACTTCTTTTCAGGGGAGTGGTGGCTCAGGACTACCATCTTCGCCTGCAAAGAACTGAAAGTCACTATAGCTGTATTTGGGACACCTTTCAGTCTAGATACGGCGATAATGACCATACATTCTATCGGGTGAAGACAGTAGGCCCCACTGGTGATGTCTTCATGCTTGGAAACCAGGAAGACAGAGCATGAACACATTATGACCAGGTCCATGATTTCCAATCACCAGTGGGGCCACCGTGTTAGATAGATTAGGCTATACACAAACAGTTTGGGAACCAGACAAGTGAATGTGTTTATTTGCCCTTTGCCCTGTGTTCTGTCATCATCAAGGAACCACCGTGAAAGGTTTCAACTTTGTATGTCTAAATCATTCAATGTCAGATACACGCCCCATCACCCACAGATCCCATAACGAAGCAGCATCTATGAACAGAAGTAATTTTCAAAATCCATTTGTCAAAGTTGGAAACATAGCACATCATCGGAGTAACACAGGTAGGCGAGTACACCTGCAGCAGGTCGTGTAAATCAGAAAGACGATGAGACATGCCCTTATACACTCTACTCTGCCCAGGTCATCTCCAACCAGCAGAGGTCCACTTACATGATGGCATCGATCTGCGGTCGTGAAAATGCGCTCACGATTACAAAGTAGCGAGTCCACTGCACAAGAGGCTTGACGTGAAGGACCCGAATGTCAACTGCTTTGGTGTCATATGCGGCAGTGGCCATCGCAATTGCAACTGCATTACACAAAGAACCACAGGAGAAAACACACCCAGCACAAGCACGAGTGTGTGAATATTTACACACGCACACACAACGTCCCCCTCCCCCCCCGCTCCTGCCCCCGCCCCATTCACGCACACACACAGCACAAGTATGAGTGTGTGAATCGGCAGAACATAGGGCCATTCAAATCTACTGCCCACTCTGCTCTGCTGGCGAGCCGGACTCGCAAGAGCGTTTTCTTCCGTTATATGACACCACGTGCAACAGAAAAAACAATCACTGTTACGATCCTGGTCATTCCCAAAGTGCAAATTCACAATGAAAGACAATACCACCCAATTGCAAAAGAATGAAAGCACTTGCAAAGAGATAGAGACCAAAGAAGAGAGAAAGAAGAAGAAGAAGAAGAAGAAGTAGAAGAAGAAGAAGAAGAAGAAGAAGAAGAAGAAGAAGAAGAAGAAGAAGAAGAAGAAGAAGAAGAAGATCTACACCAGCAAGACCAATGACAAATCCCCCTTCTCTCTCCACCTTCCTCCTCCTCCTCCACTTTGCCAATCTTATTCTTCTTCCAATAATAATAATAATAACACTGAGTGGATGAACCATAATCAATGTCCGAAGTTCCCTCTTACTGCTGACACAACAACAGGTCCACCATAGCCATGGCTTCCCCCCTTCTTCTAACTCTCACATGCCTAGGCTATGGCGGACTACTGAGTGATCTGCCCTCCTGCGCAAAAGACAACGCAAAGCAGCTATGTCGCTGCACTCCTGTCCAAAGGACAACCCAAAGCAGGTATGCCGCTGCTGACTAAGCCACCATGCCTGACTCTGCCTCGGGCTTCCTTGGTGCGGCACTACCCCAACTGGGGCCTTCCAGATGCAGCGCCCAACAAGGTGATGAAGATGGTGTCCANTTCCTTGGTGCGGCACTACCCCAACTGGGGCCTTCCAGATGCAGCGCCCAACAAGGTGATGAAGATGGTGTCCACCATAGCCAGGTAGGTACCTCGTCACTCTCCTCCTTCGCCCCCTTCTTCCTCCTCCTCAGGCTGGACTGCTCACCATAGCCAGGCTGAACGCCCAGCTGCTCGTCACCTCCAGGCAGCGCTGCCCAAGTCCAGCGCTTGGCTCCAGCAGCATGTCGCCAATCCTTGCATACCGCAAATGAGGAGGAGCTGCTTGCTCCTCCGGAAGATATAGCGGCTACTGGCCTCTTGGGCGTTGACTTCCTAGGCCGAGGAGCGGCATCCCAGCAACCGGTACCTCCTCCCTTTCGGAGGGAAACATCATTGCAGGCTCTGCTATCGTCCGGACAGGCCCTAGACTCTGGCTAATTTGACTGGTACCGGCCTACCTCTAACCTACCGCTACTGGGCCTCTAAAAATGCCAACTTTTCGTCTTCTTCTGCTCGGCCTCCAGTACCCGACAGTTCTACCACTACTTGAGTGGTACCGGCCTACCTGCTACTTGAGTGTTTTTCCCGCTGCTCTAAGTGTCGCGGGCCTACCCCCGCTACTTGAGTGTTTTCCCCGCTGCAACCCTCAAAGTCGCGGCCATAGGTAAGTACCAGCCCTGCGGGGCCTTTCAACCAACAAGTACCCTTGCGGGTCACACACACACTCAGCCAACAAGCACTCAGACAGGCACGCAAACAAGCAGGCACGCACACACACACAGACTTGGAAACCACAGCAGAATGCGGGAATCTCAGCAAGGCATTCATTCCAGCAGCAAATCCCAGAAATCAGCAGTGTTCTCAGTCTGTGTTTTGGCGGGTCATTACATCACTCAACAAATAAACAGTCAGCTTGCCAGCTGTTGTCGAAAATTTACTCTTGGCAATTCACGCAGGCTAATTCAATCTGATGAGGTCGGAGTTTGAGCTCATGACCTGTTTATCAACAGTCAGTCACATGTCTGTATCATTCACCTAGATAGACTCTGACCTAACCCGAACGGAATGTACAGTCACTATTGCTGTATCTAGACAGAAAGCAGTTGTCCCAAATGCAGCTATGATGACCATACATTCTGTTTGGGGAAGACCGCAGGCCACACACTACTAGTCCCAGGATTATTCTCACAGCAACTCTCCAAACACAACACTGATTCTTGAGCCAAACGGTATGGAAATGGAATAAAAGCAATGTTACCAAGTGGACCGGACACTTGGCCCCGACAATTGCCGCGGGCGGAGGATGAGGAGGAGGAGGAGGATGAGGAAGAGGAAGAGAAGAAGAGGAGGAGGAGGAAGAAGTGAGCTGCTGCATGATTTCTGTGTTTCATTTTGATTGATTGATTGATTGATTGATTGATTGATCGTAACTTGTCTCTGCCACTAAGTTACCAATGCGCGCATCATCTCCCTGCACACCTTGGGCGAGACTAGGACTCGTCTTTGTGCCGTGTTGGCCACACGCCCTCTGGGTTTGTGCTGTTGGCCTTGGGCGCACGCTGTACACATGCAATCTCTCGGGCAGAGGTAGCACACATTCTTACCTTGGGCGGGAAAAAAGACAGAAAAAGAAAAAAGAAGGGGCAGGCGAAAGGGAGGTCGGCAGAGAGGAGAAGGAAGAAGAGGAGGAGAAAGAAGTAGAACAGGAGGAGGAGGACAAAGACAGAAGGAGTTGCCATCATTGTACAGGCGACAACAACCACTCCCACGACCATGATCACAACCACACCAAGGACAAAAAAAAACAATAAAAGAACGGTCGTGGTCATCATTGTTGATCTACCAAATCAGTCAATCTTGATTGATTGATTGATCCTAACGGGAACCACAAAAAAAAAAAAAAAAAAAAAAAAAAAAACGAAAAAGAAAAAACTTCAAAAAAGCTTGAAAAAAGGGGAGATTTCGAATATGAAATTGGCCCAATCTCCAAGATCGGAGGGCCCAGATTGGGCCTTTTTTTCAGAATTTTGGGGCCTTTCAGGCGTCTAAAACATTTGTGCAGGGTCCTGGAATGGGGAGCCCCCTCTCCTCTGACCCCCATTGCCCCTGAAATGCCAAAACCGGACCCAGCATAGTTTTTACTGGGCCCGGTTATGTGTCTCTGGGCAGACACTTCGGACATCCTCCGCAGGGAAGAGAGGGGGGGTGGACATCCACCCAGGTAACCTAGAAAAAAAGAGGTTAAAAAACCAGCATCTAGGCTACCAGAGTGGCTCAGGGCAACTTGCCCAGCCGGGCCAAAAATAATTAAAATAATAATAATAATTTGGCAAGGAATTTTTATTTGACCCTGAGGCAAAAGTTGTTCAGTTTATTTTTGTGCATCACATAGTTTTTTTTATAGATTTTTCAGAAATCCTTTCTTTTTTTTGCTTGGGCCTTCCCTGGTCCTTGCACGGCCGGGCCGCCCGGTCAAACAAGGTGACCCGGGCGGCCCAGCTGGTAGCCCAGAACTGAGCCGAATCTTTTCAAACACGATAGAAACTATTAGAAAGAGCATCGCTGCACCAAAACTATTTTGCACAACGATGGAGAGAAATGACGCAGTCCCAAAAACATCCGTCCATTAAAAAGAAAAACTACTTTCATAGTTTTCAGTTATTTTAAGCCCTACAAAGCAACCAAGAGCCGTCAACTTGGAGAAGACCGGCCAACTCACATTTCTCAACTTCTGCGTCATCTTCATCCGCCTTGGCAAGCTCCTCCAAGTTCGGGTCAACGTATACAGTTTCGCCGAACTTCTCAAAAACTTCGTCTAGCTCGCCGTCCTTCCATTCCATGTTCTGAAACCACCATTCAACAAAACGCATCTCCCTGATCAATTTTGCCTTGGGGTTTTAGGCCCCTTTGATCCATTTTATGACCCTTTCTTTTTTTTTTTGCTGTTGGTTTATTTGGTTTCCAACTTTCCATTAAAATTAAAATTTAGGGCTCTTAACCTCTTCTCCAATGTCCATGCTCATCTTCCACTCTTGACTGGTTCCTACAAACTTCCCTGCAGCTTGTGCTCGACATCACACACATGTGTTATGTGACTGATTGAAATGCAATCCAGCAGAGCATCAACATGTTCACATACACATGCCAAGATGAAGAAGCAGACTTGGAGAGGGAATTCACACCAAACCAGACTGAGATATGCGCAGAGCAACAAGAATTGAGAATTACCAATTCATAATCCCTCGCCACTCCTCAGCTCAATCAGAATCACAATGAACCCGAGAATCTCAACCGAGAGTAAACCACCCAGGAAAAAAAAAAAGAACATAGCTTCATCAAGCTTCTGGAGTCTCCCTCCTCGCACTGCAGCATCATTCTCTACACCGCCCGCCGGCTATGACGCCCAGCCCTAATTCCTGCAGACCACCAGTGTCACCCTCCTACTGTCTCAGCAGCACCATCACCGTCCAGAAAACACTCAGATTCTCCGGCGCTGGGCCAGAGACCTCCCAGAATAAGCCGCGCCAGCTTCAGGAAACAAACTCCAGCTTGAAGAAGGAGAAGTACAGCTACCACGGAGAGAAGAAGCTATGGCAGCGCCTAACCCCACAGCGCAGAGATGGTGCCGGCAAACTCAGCAGATGAAGCACCCTCTTCACTGCTGCCTTGAAACCCTAGCAACCACTGTCCAGCTACACCGATGCTCCAGCAGCCTGGCGGCAGCAACAGAAGCACTAAACAACTATTCCCCAAAACGGAGCTAACACTGCGGATCTACTTTATTTATACTTCTGCTCTAACCTATTGGACTGGACTGCCTAAGACCTAAAACACAACAACCAGTTATGGGTCTGTGTTTTCCAGTAACGGTGGTACTGGTCTGAGGCAAGGGTAAACCAACTAACAAGGTCTGTCTTCCCAGAAACAACCGTAACAGTCTGAGGCAAAAGTAAGGCAACTGTCGCGTTGGGGCATGGACAGGTTTAGACCCAGTAGTACCTGTTTTCGCAGTAGTTTACGGAATTTGGAGAAAGGTCCTTGTCCACTCAGGCCTACTTCAGTTACCGGTTAGGACCCAGAACTCAGAAAATTACAAAATTGTCCTAGTCAGTGCGACACCCCACTGGGAAACTGCAAGAAAATTGCACGTGAATGCATCTCTCTCTCTCTCTCTCTCTCTCTCTCTCTCTCTCTCTCTCTCTCTCTCTCTCTCTCTCTCTCTCTCTCTCTCACACACACACACACACACACACACACACACACACACACACACACACACACACACAACCCTCATCAGTCAGTGAAAGTCCACCTGAACAGTCTGGCACAGTCATCCTTTTCCTGTGGAGTTGTGTATAGCAAACATGACAACACGCACACACTCACAGACCCTTAGGATGAGAGCGTGTTGGGGGGATTACGTACCAGGAAATCATCAACATCTTTTTCTTCAAGGAAGTCACTTGTAGAAGCGAGGTTATCATTCCTTGTTTTTGCCGCTTTAACACCATGCTCCACCTGTAATGTAAACTAGTAAGGACAACTGCAACCCTCACAAGTCAGGGAAATGTTCCTTCAGAAGAAAGAAAAAAGGGAAGAAAAAAGAAGAAGAAGAAGATGAAGAAGTTGGTTTGCTGAATCAACATAGGACGCTACTATGAAGCATACCTGTTTTATGAACACTGCAGGTAAATCACTGCATGTAATTCTTTTAGCGGAGGATAGGCGGAGGGTAGGCGGAGGGTAGGCAGAGGATAGGCGAAGGATAGGCGGAGGATAGGCAGAGGATAGGCGGAGGATAGGCGGAGGGTAGGCGGAGGATAGGCGGAGGATAGGCAGAGGATAGGCAGAGGGTAGGCGGAGGATAGGCGGAGGATAGGCGGAGGATAGGAGGAGGATAGGCGGAGGATAGGAGGAGGATAGGCGGAGGGTAGGCAGAGGATAGGAGTCACATAATTAGAGGTAAACAATGCTTCCAAAGAAAGCCGGGAATGGAGACAAGGGGAGCTCCCTCCCTTCATAGATGGAGTGAGGGTTAGAGCTTTCGCCTCTGTACCAGGAAGTTATGAAGACTGCATCAATGACTGAGCTGCGCCATTGCCTCTGAACCTCTTTCTGCCGAAGCTAATGACTACATATCGACCCCGGATTTGCCGAACCTCGGGGCTTGCTGACAAAAGCACAGCCGATCTCGTCTTTTTCAGACAGCCTCTGGCAGTCGGATTGCAATTTTGAAAGTTCAGGTCCGCGGCTCCAGTTTTGTCTTGCCGATTCTGCATGCAGTCTGTCATCACTCCGATGCCCGACCAGAGAAGCATGGAAGTTTCCTCTCTCTCTCTCTCTCTCTCTCTCTCTCTCTCTCTCTCTCTCTCTCTCTCTC